GCGTCAAAAACTCACAAGGCTCTCGAGTAGGTAAGTATAGTAATCACCTATGGATCTATTTCCACGTAATAACATCTGGGAGCTCTGTTCCATCGGATTCCCATAGCCAGGTAGTCTCGACGATGTTGGCTGACATCGAAGAAATCAAACAGTTGCAACCGCGAATATCACAGGTTGCCTCGCCACATATAACAACCCATGGCCTTGCCAAGTAAATCATAGACTGTGGCCCCAGCCACATCTAATAGCCTATCAGTAACCCAAAAGTTCTCTAACTAGAGCTCACTTGTGCACAAGGGTCACACTTAACCGAAGTGCCAACTAGCCTACTCCCGATGCTCTCAGTTTATCAAAACTATTTTTAAAACCAAATCAGGTTTTACAAGGCTTTTCCTTTTAAATCCTTTCAAATCAAGACCCCTTTGAAATTACTTTTCAAACTAAATGGCATGATGTAAATATTTATATACAAATTGGGCTAAAATCGAAGCTCAAAATTCGCATTCAAAATTGTTTAACACATGCATTAGCTATGCATATCATACAAAAGAATACAAGGCACAGATTTTGATGCAAACATTGTGAAAGGCTTGTTCCCGATTTCTAAAAGTCTTTATGCGTGTAGCTTATCTATAGGTATATCCAAATCATTTTAAAAACACTTGCATTCATAAAGTTCCTATGGTTTCTGCCAACTAATGCTTTCCACAATAGCAATATATAAATCATTGTAAATCCATTCAAAATTGCCTATCAAGGCTAACAGCTCATGCTATCCACAAATGCTCTTAAGAAAACCAATAACGTTTATTAATGTAAATCAATATATAATACAGAGATTTTAAAATCAGCACCCTTACTCACCTCACAATAGCGGGACACTACGTCGCTATTGATTTAAGCGCGTATCTAGCTAATTTCTACTTGCCGATTTCTAGTTACTTCCTTCGGTACGCCACCATGGCAACTTTGCTTACTATACTCTTCCCAGCATCCATTCAAACCCAATTTATTTAATTATA